AGTAGTAACAAACAAATATTTTCAGGGTCGTTGGTTAATATGCTAAACATTTCATACCGAGGCCCAGAATAGCGGCCGGGAAACCCTTGTCCCTTTTAGTTCCAAAGTAATGTCAGATATTACGATTCCCGGGAGAATTCCTACGCCCCTTCTGTCTCACTTAAATTATCGCCGTAATTACGGCGTGTGCATCGTAAAACGCGGCCGCCCGGCACAATGTCGTCATGCTCGCGAGTCGAGAGAAAAGTATGCTTGCGATCACGACGCATTTCCTCACCGTAGACGCGCGAACGAATCCCGCCCTTTTTTATCGCTTGTATTATCTCGCGCGGAGAATTTGGTATATATCACCACCATTTCATCTCTAATCTCTGGCGATAACGTAAAAATGGCAACCGGCTTCGTCGAGGACGTGCGACGAGGCGCGATTTGCATGACTTTCACACGTGGCAGAGTGCACGCACTTACGGACAAGGTTAATGGAAAATCACGCGAGAACGACGGAATGACAATGCGTATACGCAATTGTCGGCGTTACCTCCGCCGATGCGAAACATTTTCGATTTCGTGAGTTATAGGAAGTTCGTGTGCCGCTCCTTCCCGGGGGCGGATAAATTATCGTCGTGTCATGGATCCACATCACACGTCCGCTTTGTCCGCGTGTTGGTGGCTGTATCGTGTGATTCTTCTCAACGCGAGGTCCCCCGGATCGCGTTTCGTAATCTCACGCGTGTACACGACCTTTCACCGTACCTTCCTTCAGCAAGTGATTAATGATGCCGCCGTCGCCTTACGGTCGGGGCAGGAGTGTTGCAACATTTTTGGATTCCATCTCTGCACTATTCCCTTCGTATAAAGAATTTAATTCCGCCTCGTGTCGCCCAAATCAAGTCAGACATGTCGAATCGCCTTATTCACGTGCGTCTGCTTTTTAACTATTTTAGTTATGCATCATAACGATGATGGCACGCAATCTGATCATGATAATTCAATATTATGCGCAGCAGCGTAATTCCCCTTTGATAGCTTGCAATATCCATTTGATTTCCTGAATTAAATAGCAACGGGAAAATGTACGTCCATCTGTCACTAAAAGAAATAAATATTGGAAGGAAAGCTTCGAACGGAGCAAACCTTAAAAATATTCTTGTTTCTCATAAAAAGAAACGGAAAAGAAACGGTGCTTTTTGAATCGTAGATTTAGGTGACGATAAGACAGGCTATCGTGACTCCAGAAAGCTGGTCCCTGTCGCGTGTCATAATTTTTGCCGGACGTCGAATTAATTCCATTGCTTTTAATTTGTCATTTTTCACGTGACATCTGACGATGTAGATGAAGAGTGACAAACACGCGACGTACTGATTAAGTAAGAAACCTCAACATTCGTCTAACACCCCACTCGTATGGAAATTTATCTTTATGGAAATATCGCGCACGAACAACTTTATTTCACTTGAAATCTCATACCCGATCGGTACACTCTAAAATGGAAATTTTAAAAAAGTATATAGCGTAATGTGTCACGTTTCCTTATCTAATATCAGTAAGAGTTGTATTACACCTTCAAATCTTATCAATCTTATATATCTATTAACTTGAAGAATTCCATTTTCAGTTCTTTTCAAGCTGGAATATTGAAATACCTATACACCTAGACAACGACGATTATAATCGCGCGAGGACAAACGCGGATGGAATGCGGCGCAAAGAAAACAGGGGAAAGAAAGGCCACGGCGACAGAAAGCGAGGAACGTAGTAAAACAGTGGCCACGATTTTTTTTATTATCTCAGCGGTGATTAAAGTAATGCGATTTCCATCCTTTCATCGAGGCAGAAGCGCAAATGAGCGGCCGAGCATTGTTCGTGTCTCCCCGCGCGCGCGAGCTAACAATCGTCGCCCTTCTCTTCTCACTCGGTTCCGCGAAACCGAATAATCAATCCACTTCGCCGTGAAACATTCCCCTTTGTATCGCGAAATATCCGTCTCTCGAGATCCTCGCGACGCGCGAGTAGCATTTCGCCGGTGCCGTAGTCGCGGACGCCGCTTCCGTCGTTTGCGCTCCGAAAGAAAGCGAATAAAAGCGACGAGAGAGAAAACAGCGG